ATGGTAAGGGAAAAATATTCCAAGATTTCAACACGACACCATTTCTAAGCAATGAAACGGCGAATGAAACACCATGTACACCGAAAATTAGACAAGGGTTGTGCAAACACCCCCCCACCTAAAACTATCCTGACAGGACAGAAAATATTCAGTTCCAGTTTGGCTGCTGGACCCGTCTGTGGAATTGTTTCCATGCCTCACTCCAGTGGCATCACATGTCAAAACCCCAGGATGCATTTCTGCTGACAGAGCGTGGCATGCCATGTGGGCAGAAACAAACCCAAGGAACCCAACAGGACATCAAACCACAGAGATGCAGACAAACCAGCAGTTCTGCAAATGCTTGGAGGACTGAGTCTGGGAGGACAGATTCTTCAAACGGTAGTTTTAGAGTTGTTTTCTTCATTGCTATCATTCACTTTCTTCAGCTTCTCTTATGTTCCATCCAATCCTCCAGAGGTAGGAGGTGTGTGTGGGGGGGTGGGGGTCTGATTTAAAGGTTCTGGCAAATTCTGCAGATTGCAGTACCTTTTCCACGAAGGTTTACCTGGAAGATAGGGTTTCTCTATAAAGTTAATGTATCTGGTGTCAAACTTTAAAAAGAAGCTGTAATTTGTGTGAGTTGAGGGGGTTCATGTTCACTGCAGGCCAGCAAACACACTAAACCTGTGTCTTGGTTGCATTAGAGTGGAGACATAATAAGATGATGATATTATCTTTTATTTATCTCAGCAAAGGCATGAATGTTCTGTTTCTACTTAAGGTTTACTGACAACTCTCCATTAAAACCACGACCTCTGGCCTTTGTTTGCTGCTGGTGATAGATTTAATCTTGTTCAAGTGAAGCTCAGACTTCATCGCTTGTGCAGATTCTCAACAGGTCAAAGTTGCACCTTCAAAGCTCGACTCATTCGCTTCTGACCTGTGGCTCAGATCAGTTTTCTGCGATCAATTTACAAACCAACATTCGCTGATGCTGACATTTTTAAGCAACTTTTTTTCCTCTTCAAGGAAGAGCGTTTCTTTATCCAGACCATTGAGATACCGACAGCAGTTATAAAGTGCCCCTACTGTGCTCATTTACAGCCTCATAATGTTTAGTATTTAGTTACAAAAATGTGCAGCAGCACCTGTTTAAAATCATTCTGGAACATTTATATTTTCTCTCGTCTCTTCCAGGCCGCCCCGAAAAGTTCTAAAGCCTGCTCTGACTGACGTGTCTGTCAAATAGCAACATCTGGAGCTGCAGCACTGCCACTTTGAATGACATCTGTTCTGTTTCTTAGTAGTGTGTAATGTTTACTGCAGATAATTCAAAAACCTGATCACAGGCAGGGCGGCAGTGCACCTGTAAATGCTCTCGTTCTGACGACTTACGTGTCTTTCCCTTGTCTGACTGGCGGAGACCTTCTCCTTCGGGGTAAACTGGGACCACGGTCACAGTGTAGGGAGTGTCTGATAGCAGGTTCCTTAGGATGGTGTTGGTGGTGCCGCCGGACACCTGCTCCTGTTCGTACACAGAAACACAGCTGTCAGTCAAAAGAAAGCAGAAGTGGTGGATCTGAGGAGGATCATTCTGGCACTGATTCTGCAGTAATCATCCACAGAAACAGGAAAATTAGACTTTGGTGAAAAACTAGCTGGACCCCTTGTACAGAACATGCAGAGTGATGAGAAACATGACACTGGTTGAATCAGAAACAGCATTAAAAGCAAATGCCGAAGTGTAGGTGGGCTGCAAGGCAGCTTGCACATTTGGGCAAGTTAAAGCAGATTAAATAATTCCTGATATGCAGAAAAAGGCATCTGATGAGCTGATGTGAATCTGCTTTGCCTGTCTGAGCTAATGCCCAGTTTTCCTTTGTGACACATGACAGGACAGGAAGTCAGTGTGATCTCTAACCATGTCCTCGGCGCCTCCGGACGCGGGCACGTAGAAGATGCGGTACTGCCGGACGTTGCCCTCCGCCGGTTCCCAGCGCACCTTCAGGGAGCTGGTGGTGGGATCAGTGACCTGGAGGTTCTTCACTCCGCCCAGAGCCTCTGTGAACACAACATGGTGGTTACATTTCAGACCAGTTTCCTCGAGTGTCAAATGTCACAGAGAAGCAACATCTGCTGAGTTTCATATACCTCTTTAGCTAAACCTCCTGCAACTGCCATGTTGGTTCTTGATATATTAAAGCTGAGTGTTCTCCTCTGGCCAGTATTTCTACTCTTACAGAGTAGTTTTGGTTTGGGATGTTTGTCTTCTCTACACTAAACTTCTGGTGTTCAAAGCACCCAAAAAATCTAAAAATTACACTTGAAAGAGTCTTTTTTTTTTCAGAAATCATTATCCAGTTATTTTAAAAAAATCTAAAACGTATCTGTGAAAGGTTTTATAAAGGAACTACTTTCTTTCTTTCATCTTTATCCACCTCCCAAAGCGGTGTGCAGCCAGCTTACATTACAGCGCACCTTTAAGGTTTGCATCCTGTCATGACCATAAGGCTCTTTTTATGGATAGATTCATAATTTCTACTGCAAAATATAGTTGGTGAGTGTAGTTTTGTGGAAAAAAGTAACTCCTGTATCAAGTCTGTGGATTTTTGAGTCGCAGCCTCGTGAATCCCAGAAAGAGAATTTGATGCACTCACTGGTCTTCCCGTTCTCCGATGCTCGTTTTCCCTCCGTGTCGGGGTAAATGGGAACCAGTGTCACTTTGTACTCAGTATCTGGACGCAGCTCTCTCAGCACTGTGTTGGTCGTAATCCCAGACACCTGAGTCTGTGAAGGGAAAATTAATAAGCAAATATCAGCCACGGATGGGTGACTTTAATGGAATTTATTTATCTCACTAGCTGGAGGTGAGAAAATGATCTTACTAAACACTGTCCAGGATTATATTATATAATGTGCTTTAACTTAGTCATTTAAAGTCAGTCAGGGATTCTCACCTGGGACTGAAGCAGCTTTTAAGAGAGATTTTTCCCGCAAACCAGCCACAGACGTTGGCACCTTTGGAAAGTTTGCAGTCCGTGGCTCCAAGCAAGAAACTTACACAAGGCACTTATATTTTTAGGTGCTTTGGACCACAATTCTCAAAATTATACTGTTTTTACTTCGTTTTTGTTTTCAACCAATGTCCATCATTTACTGCCATAAATTTCTAAATACCAAAGAACCCCCACTCTCATGAAATCCAGAATGAATATGGCCATACGGAGCTGCTCCAGCCAAAAAACTCTTTGCATGGGGTAAAGATTTTTCTTTAAACAATCTTCATGTTGTTATTTATTTATTTTATAGATTTAGTTCCACATTGAGACTTCCGTGAGCTATTTCACGACAGCTGCCGTTTGGAATTTCTGTGACGGTGAAACCAGAAACTAAAGGACATTCAGTGTCTCCTCATGGTTGACTGCTTCTGAATGGTGCAGGGAGTCCCTGACAAAAACAAAGGAGCGATCTGTGTTATTCTGAAGTATAACTTCATCATCTCAGATTTTGAATCGAGGCAAGGATTAAGCCTTCTGCTCTTGTCTGTGTTTGGCTGTTTCAGCTGTAACTCAGCTTCCTGGTCATCTCACTAACAGATGTTTGGGGCCAGTCATTGTCTCCATTTCTGGTTTTAGACACTTCTTCTTCACATGGGTGCCTTTGAACATTTTTATTAGTCAGGTTTCTTTCTTATTTTTATCCTCTTTGGCCACCTCACTCCGAGATGTAGAGGTCAGCACAGCTGGATTAACAGGAAGTGAACAGGCTCCCTGATGATCAGCTCTTCTCTGTCTCTCTCCACTTACTCATTTGTTTAAATTTTCCCAGAACTCTTGAAATCAGCTCACACGTAGCGTGAGAATGAAACTAGCATCATTTATTCTAATACTGTAAAAAATAAAAACCCCAAACAGAAACACGCACTTCGACTGTTTTACGGGTTTGGATAAACTAACTTGAACTGTTTGCTCACGTCAGCTCGTCGCAGTCTCTCATTCTCTGCTAATGTTCTAGGCATCAACTCGCAAACAAAGACGCTATAAAACTATAGAAGAATTAAGTGATTAGCGGCACATAAAATATCCTGTGGCGTTTTAATTTGTGCTCCCAGTGAGAATTCTGATTGTGTTTTCTGTGTCATGAAAGGAAGATGCTATAAGGCTTTGATGCACTCGTGTGCTCCCGAGAAAAGTCTGAACTCAGCTGAATTTAGTCAAATTTGATTCATCTTTCATCATAACAGGTTTGACATTTATAACAGAAATAATTTAAAAACCCGCAGCTGCTAACATTTATGAAAACCGGACCTGCCTTCTTTGATAGGATTATGAGGTCAGTAAAAGCTTACCACGCTCTCCTGTCCTCCAGCGGCGGGGACGTAGATGATCTGGTACTGTCTGACGTCGCCCTCAGCCGGGTCCCAGCGGACCCTCAGTGAGTTGACGGTGGGGTCGGTCACCTGGAGATTCTTCACTCCGCCCAGAGCCTCTGAAACAGACGGGACACATCACAGCCTGACACGATGCGGGCGGGTGGATTTCACCTCATCAGGACAGACCAGATGTTCCAAAGCCGGGGAGGCTGTCAGTCACAGAGGAGTCTTCTTTCCTTCCTGTGCCTGTCTAAACTTTCTGGTATTCCATAAAGAAACCCTATTAAACTGTTTTTTAGACATTAAAGAATTCCTCCAATAAAAAAAAAGTTTAAATAACTGCTGCAAATGACCCTTAGCGTTTGTTTTATCCTGCAGGGTGCTCCAGATGGATGCGTTTGCCACATCAGGAGTGTCCAGATGTGTCAGACTCAGGGAAGTTGCCTAAACTTTCTGGCATTCATTTGCAAGCCACAAGCGTTCATATAAACAGGGACTATTTTCTTGCTGTCTGGCTGAAAACATCAGACCTTTAAGGTGGTTTTTCTCATGATTTGACTGCAAACCTTACATTGCTGGCAGGTTTTCCACACAGCTGGTAAAAATGATGGTTTTAAAAAAGGACATTATTGGAAAGAACACTTAAATAAAAGCACTTTTAGTTGGTGGTGTGTGCTATGAGTCAGCTTACTCTTCATGACTCTGGCTGTAAGTGTCAGATGGTTCTGGTAATGCAGGACAGATAGAAATCGAAGGAAGTACCTCAAGCTTATCTGTAAAGACTTTCTGCTAGAAAGCATCAATCAAGTTTTCTATTGTTTTTAAAGAGCAAAAACAGCAAAAACAGCCTCAATCTCACGGTGAGGCCAACACCATTTGACCATGTGTGGTCAAAACATCGACCTCTAGTGATACAACAAGAAAAGATTTTTAACAGAAGACAAAATAAACTTCTGAGAAATGCAGAAGGTGATGATCGCATATTTGACAAAACTGTCATCTGTCTTCACTGGCTGTGATTCATTTGGTCTTACTGTGTAGTGAAAAGTGTGGTAAACCCACAAAAACAGAGGAAAAACTCATATATGATGATGGGAAACCCAGTGTGTCAGTCGAAAGACACGACACAGGCGATGTAGTGGAGATGTTACTTATGGAGAGATGGGCAGCAGTAGCATATTGTTTTACTTTTCATTCATTTTCTGTTTTTTTCTGTCTCTGTAAAAATGACCTCCCCGGTGTCTGTGAGTGTTTCCCTCATGTGCTGCGCTGTAATAAAAAAAAAAAGTTCAAATACAGACAAAGATCCCGTAAATAAATAAGTCTTGCAAACAATAGCACGAAAAGAATCAATTTTATAGATGCAATAAAACACGCGTTCTTTGGAGAGGGCTCTCGAACGCACCATCAGGGACAGATTATCAAAGCAGTCCAAACTAATAACTGCATAACCGCTGCTGGATGGTGAATATGAAAACATGTGGGATCGCTGGGGAAATACTCAGAAAGGGCGGGGCCTAAGTGGAAATGGCTAATAAAAAAAACTGCCTTTTGATTCTCATGCCATCAACGGTTGCCCAGGTGGACAGGCCAAAACCTTCCTACGGTGCAATAAACGTCTGTAAGTGTGTTTTATGTTGATGTAGTGGTTCCATGTTGGTGCAAAGAAATGTCATGTGATTTCCTCTGCAATCGAATTTCCCCACATCTGTCTAAAACGACAGAAATCCTGAAACGTCTATAAAAATTGGATGTAGTGACATCACCCATTGGTTGTGAAGTCCTGTTCAGAAGCCTCGAGGTCATCATTTCCTCCAGGTCTGACTGTGACGTGCTCACTGCCTGCAAACACTGCTAACACTGAGGATTTAAAATGCCAGGACTAAAACCTTCAGGTAATGCCATCTTTTACACACTCTGTGGTTTAAGAAAATCCCACTGTTCCTTTTTGGCCCTGTCTGTCTGTCTGTCTGAAACAAGATTTGGTCATCTGACTCTTTGGAGCAACGCACACATGCCTCCAGGAATCTAAAAAATGCTGCTCCCCTTTGTGAAAACCCTGAGTGATCCACTCACTTGTCTTTCCCTTCTCCTCCTGCCTTATGCCCTCCACGTCTGGGTAGACTGGAACGACCGCCACCTTGTACGCGGTGTCAGGGTCCAGGTTCCTCAGGATGGTGGTGGTGGTGCCACCAGACACCTCCTCCTGTTCAACAAAGTGCCAAAGCCTTCATTAGCAGATTACCTGATTACTGTTACTTTGACTGGGTATTTGAACCAAGATAAGACCCTGAAATTGGTCCATAAAACAGTTTGTTTGTTTTGTACCATGCGTTCTTCTCCTCCTGGTTGGGGCGTGTAGAAGACCTTGTAGGTCCGGACGTTGCCCACTGCTGGATCCCAGCGCACTGTCAAAGTGTTGATGGTTGGGTCGATCACCTTCAAGTTCTTTACTCCACCCAAAGGATCTGAGGAGGAGGAAAAGGCACTTAGCGCTTACATGGTATCTAAAATATCCCTGAATATTTCCTACCTGCATCCAGCCCTAGGGACTCAAATATTTTTAGATTTAAACTTGAATTGTCTTTAGATTATTCCCAACATCAAATCAAGTTCATGCTTGATTCATGAAAGATGCTGAGCAAGAAAAACGCTGTTTAACTCTGAGAACTGTGATTTCTATAAAGGGTCATTAGGACTCCAGCTATGCCTGATTTAAATTTGCTGGATTGTACCTTCAGTGTGGCCTCCTTTTCCATCTCTAGACACTGGTGCCATTCATAAATCACTGCCTGACTCTGATGTCCAGGTTCACTGCTGTCGTTGAGAGCATTACAAAGACCCAGAAATCTAACAGCAGCCTTTCAGGCCACAGCGTCCAAGCCTGAAGTCGGTGCATGCGCTCAAGATTTAGCATTAGTCGTTTCTGAACATTCCCCTTCCATTAAATTGGTGAATGCTGCCATGAAGGGAAAATCAGGTTAATGTAAATGCAATGACTGCTGCTTTTTAATGGTGGAATTTAACACAGGCTATGTCGGTGATAAATCTGATATAAGTCTGTGATTTGTATGTGATATATGTGTGTGATATATCGGGTTTAGTCTTCAACGCTGGCACAAAAAGAAAATGCCCACTTGGGTTTAACAGCCTGACTAAGCTGCCATTATTTTTAGTGTTTCCATTTAGCCTTGGATGTTAAAGAAACTTTGTTAACCATCTGAAGTACTTTCATTATTTAGGATGATTTCAAGTAAACTGCTGGCTTTCCCACAAAAACCATCTGACAGAAATCTTCAGTTTTATATTTATGTCTCTGTTTTCCAGCTGTTATCAGACATCTTCATTAGGTCTTGGGTCCATGTAGATGTAGCAGCTCATTATTTTTCCAAATAAGACAAAAAACCGAGTAAAATTACTTCAAACCACAAGTTTTAGCTGTAAATCAGTCAGCAGGACTCACTTGTCTTCCCATTTTCGGACATGGGCTTTCCCTCCATCTCGGGGTAGACGGGCACCACGGTGACAGTGTACTCTGTGTTTGGATCCAGGTTCTTGAGCACCGTGCTGGTGGCGGTTCCAGGAACCGAGTCCTGAGTTGGGGGGAGGAAGAAACGACTTTGAACTGGATGAACTCCTTGATCTGGAGAACAAATGAGCGCTTTGGCAGCCGCAGACAGATTCTCAGAATGAGCAATGTCACCGTTTAATGTTTTCTTGGACGCAGCTTCACTCAGTATCAGGAACAGTTAAGACTCGGAGATAAAGATGGATTTCTGCACAGGGCTACCACTTTAAAGGCTGTCCTGGGACAGGATGGAGCTTCAGATAGAAAAAATGAGAGCAAGTCTTCCTTTGCATGCACTCCTTCAGGCCTCTGCTGCACTTTCAAAATTCTACTTCTTCTTTGTCCATTTAATCTAATTTTCCTAAAATGTGCCAACACGCTGAGATAATGAAATAAAACAAATCAAATCATCTTATTTTACGACATCTTCTGACATAACCTTTGGGGTAATGAAACTAAACAAGATATCACCACAACTTCACAGAAAACAGTCAAACTTTCTCCTGACTCAATAGATCTCATTTCTCTGTCAAATGTTTTCCATTATTTGCAAGAAAACATCATTTTTTTTAAAAAGGCAACAACATCATCTGGTGGTTTTCATCTTTTGATATCGTGATCTTACAACTTTTCCCAAGACAAGAACGCTCTGGTGTGTAACTGCCTTGGAAACGACCTCACGCCGCTGACTCAACGCCACAGTGAGAGCCAAAAGGGAAAAATAAGATCTGCTCACATGGCAACCTGATCTCCCCTTAAAGACGAGACTCCTAACTTTGATTCATCAGAGGTCCAATTTTACACACACAGGAGCACTTTGCACTGGCTTTTTGCCCACAAGGATTTTTAAAGTAATTAAAGTAAGAAGAAACTTCCACATCCTTACCACATCCTGCTCTCCTCCAGCTGTGGGCACCCAGATTACGATGTACTCGCGCACATTCCCTTCCGGTGGCAGCCAGCGAACGTTCAAGGTGCTGGTGGTGGGATCGGTCACCTGCAGGTTCCTCACAAAGCCCAGTGGCTCTGAACAGAAGTACAGCCAGAACAGGAAGTCAGTCAGTGCCTGGATCTGAGTGACATATCTTTAGTGTAGTCAGAGGTTAAGTGGTTTCTGGTGATAAGTTTCAAATCTTTAAATAGGGAACTTTGTGAAGCTGTACAAACGTTTGAAAGAGGAAATCCTGCAGTATGCCCTCAGTCTGCACCTCTGACCCTGGAGTAACGACACTCGATGGAAAAGTCTACAAAGTACGTTTAATGTTACGAATGATATGCCGCAAGTACTGTCCTTAAAAATGTTGCATGTGAATCACTGATCGCTATGGTAGATCTACCATCACTATTCTAACCTGTGAAGATGGCAGACTGCCTTCAGATTTTCCCGTCAGTGACAGAAAATATTCCGTTAACGTGATGTCTAGTCTGGACTGGCTTGAAGGCCGGGATCAGCATTGGCCCGGCTCTCTGCTCTCTGAACCCATTATTTCCAGTGGTTTGTACCTTGCTTCGTCATTTTTCACTGCTTTTTTAAGCTTTCATTGCTATTCACTGTGACAAACACCCACATGGCCAATGCAAACGAGGCATCCCGCCAGGTGAGGGAGGCAAAATGGAAAAAAATGGGATATTCTGTGTCTTTGAATTTGCTTTGGCCAGGATGAATGCCCAACTGGAAACAGGTCTCTATTTAATATGTTATAAGATAATACATAGCTCAGGTCGGCTATGTGTTCCTCTGAAAACACATAGCCGTTGTAATCTGCTAAAAATGTTCCTTATTGATGTATTGTGGCAAAGAGCAGTAAGCTAAAACCGAGCCAGTTTTCCTCCTCAGTCAACTTTTAGTTCAGTCAGACTCTGTTTAATTGTTTCTTTAAGGCTCGGGTGTTTTTTAATGTCCTTCTGAGCACATTTCTAAACATACTATGGTTGTCACGTGACCTCAAGCCTCGATACTCACTTGTCTTGCCAGTCTCAGACAGGCTTGGTCCGTCTCCCTCGGCGTAGACGGGGACCACGGTGACGGTGTAGCGGGTGTCCGGCAGCAGTTTATTCATGACGAATGTGGTGGTACTCTCAGACACGGTCTCCTACGAAAAGATGCATCAGATTTATCCTGAAACTAAATCCCAGAGAGTCCATATGTTTGACCTCAACAAGGTCAAAACACAAATAAAAGTCTTCCTGAGAAAGTGTTTGAGTCTCATGAAAATAGTAAACTGGCTTACCTTAATGCCTAACATGGGAATTTTTAAAAGCTGAAATATTTCTTGTGTTTTAAAAAGAAAATCCCTTTTTTGTTTTTAAAGCAGAAGAATCTTCTGAAACAACCTGTGGATCATCACAAGGCCTTTTCTACAGTGGTCCAGTTTTTATTCCGCTTTCAGGAGTGGTTTGAAAAACATCTAAACACTAGACATATTTCTACGTTCCTCAAGTTTTTTATTTATTGCATTTTCTGAAATGTTGCTTTAGTTGCCTTGTTGTTGTTGTTTTCAAGGCCACCGTAGACCAGCAGAAACAAATAACACCTTTAACACCTGTTCCTCTGGTAAATATTTCTTCCCGCTATTTACAGTTTATTTGACATTTTGTGTGCGCAGCATTTTGGTTTGTGAGACGAAACCACGCGAGCAGCAGTCAGATTCTTTTGGTCGAGCAGTTTGAAATTCCTTTGCAAAACTAACGTTGACGTGCTAATTGAGGGGTGAAGGTTGTGCAATCGACAACGATAAATGAGCCGCTTCTGAGGAGACAAACCCGAGTGGCCAAATCATCTGTCGGCTGCGTTCGCAGCTGTTATTTAGTGCTGATGGCACTGCAGAAATATAAAACCCACAAACATGTCATACAACAATGCGAGCTTCACGTTGCCAGAAAGTATTTAGACGGTTTTGTGTGGCAACTGCATGACGGGATTATCCTGTCAAAAAGCATGACATCACCAAATCTCTGCTGAGAGCTTTGATCGTTTTGTCTTTTTTAAACTTCTGTTGAGCATCTTGGATTTTTTTTTAGTGCCGTTTCCTGGAAAATTTATCAGACTTTTTTATTACAAGCTTTAAAAGAGTTTTACCAAACTCCCTCCAGCATTTTGTCGAGTGTAAAAACACCTCAGGGGCAGAAAAAAGGTCTGTCAGTATCGCGTGATGACAGCTTGTCAAAGAGCAATGATGCTGTCAGCAAAAGGAAAAGAAAAGAGTGAACACGCCGAGTAGGACTCAGATGTTTAATAAGCTAATGCCAATCTAAAAACTGCTCATTTCAGAATCTGCACCGACTGACATTAAACCTCAGGCAAAGAGATGAAGCCCAGTGCTAAAAACTGCAGTTCCTCTAACGGCCACTTGAGGCTGGCTCCAAAACCGAGTCATTTCCCATAGAGTCCCATGTTTAAACTTCCAGCTTTACAGCAGAAATAAACATGTTTACAGCCTGCTGCAAAAATGATTATAGTCTCTGTGGATAGTCTCCCTTTTCATAAAAACTACACAAGGGAGCTTTTTTTAAAAATGACTCAACTATAATTTGAATACTGTTTAAGACTTAAAGTTAGAGCTGTCGCTTCTCTGACTGACAGGCCACTGCATACAAATCAGCTGAATAGTTTGCAAATGTGTAGCTTTTAGCCATAATTTGGTTTCTTTTCACACACCAAAATCTCCAAGTGATCCAACATGTGTCGCTACAAATTGCATGATTTGTAAGCGGTGGTTGATCTGGGCCAACTACTGGAGGGTTCAGAAGGTGACAGGGTCTCAGAGCAGTTGTGGTTCAAACCCTGGTGCGATTATTGTGTGCACATCTGCACAAGGGAACCGCACCAAGGAGCAAAACCAACCAGAGTTTGACTCAAACAAACTTTTTATTTTCTGAGTTCACATAGCTGCTAAGATCCCAGTGAGTACATTTTGTTATAAGTATGGTCCATGTGCCTGCTTGTGTCTTTTTGACTGTGCAGACTTGCAGTAGTTTACATTACAACGCATGAACTATGCACATTGGATGTACAAATTTTATGACTTGCAGACCTGTCTTGCAGGTGTCTGTGCTTCAGTTTTCGTGAATTAATTTAAAGTATTTCACTCGTCTGTTACTGTGGATGCAGATTAATAACAAAGCTGATGACTGTTTTTTCCTCCTGTGTATCTCCCTCTAGGATTAATAACGTTTTTCTGATTTCTGAACTTGTCCTGCTAACGCAGCTGATCATGACTGTGATTGGCCAATTCAGTTGGGTTGTTTCCTTTCATGCATTTCTTTTCAAATCGAGTGGAAGAGACTGGATCATCTCATCTCCACCACCAACTGTGTTTGACACAACCCCCAGAGCGATCAGGGCACACCATGTCAAAAAAATGATAATCCACAAACAGTGAATCACATTGCGTGGCTACATCCATTTACAGCCTTCTGCAGTCTTTAGAACAAATCAGTTATCAGCATTTACACGATAAATTCTATGAAGAGAGCACTTACTTTAATCTCCAGGCCTCCATCCACAGGAACGTAGATGATATTATATCCCTGAACGTTGCCATCAGCAGGATCCCAGGTCACAGTGAGGGTGGTGATGGTCGGGTTGGTCACACTAATGCCACGTACTCCGCTCAATGGCACTGAGGGCGCAAATGTGATGAGCGATTAAATGACAATGAGTTTTTACATAGGGTTCATTTTAAAAATCTTCTACAGTGACCTACATGTCTTTCCATCCTCAGACTGGCGTTTGCCTTCCCTGGCAGGGTAAACGGGTAACACTGACACCGTGTATGGAGTATCGGGCATCAGGTTCCTGAGGATGATGTTTGTGGTGCTCGCAGGAACTTGTTCCTGTTTGACAAAATTAGGAAATAAAATGTTGCTTAAATGCTTCAGGCTCATAATTGGTTGTTTCCTGGAGAAAGGAAGCGGTACGGCGTGCATGGAGCCTCACCATCTGCTCTTCCCCACCGGCTTTGGGTACATAGAAGACCTTGTAGAGACGAACAGCTCCGTCAGCAGCATCCCAGTTCACATTCAGAGAGGTCATCGTGGGGTCAGACACCCTCAGGTTCTTTACTCCTCCCAGAGGTCCTAAACAATAAGTGTTTTTAGATTTAGACCACGTGAAGAGCCTGAATTAATGATTCCAATCTGTCGTGTTTCCATCATGATTTCATTTTGTTTTTCACAATAACAAAAAAAGAGGGGAACAAGGCTATTCCTCGATCTATAAAGTGAAGGTGTTATTCATTTGTGCTGGTGGTTTTTGTGTTGTTTCTTCTTTTTTACGATATCCTTTCTTTAATGAGCACAACTGACATCTGCTGTTTAGTGTCTCCATGTCTCAAAACAACCTCCCAGCAGACTAAGCACAGGGCAGAGAGGACACTCGTGGGTTCTCTGCAAAAACTGGTAAATCTGTTATTTCAGGTCATCTGATATTTCAGTTCTTGTTGTGTTTGTAATCATTTTCAGGGCTCAGGAAGGAATTCTGTTTGAGCCACAGGGTTTCCCCTAGAAATATGACCCCATAAAAAAGGGGATTTGGAAGCACGTGTAATCTGATTGGTCCAAATATAACTTTATGTTATGTTTGTTACATATGAATGGAGCACAGGGCCATAAAAATGCACTGATAGGATATCAGCAATATAAATATCATCTGTGAGAATTATGCTGCCAAAAAACAGACAAAAACACAAATCAGGTTACAGCGTCTCCTGATAAAACTGCACCCGTCCCCGAAATGGTTTGAAATTGATGTGGTGTATCAGTGAAGATGGACTCTGTGTAAAAAGGTCCCGACAGGGTCGTAAATTCTTTGTAGTTGTACGGATACCAAGAAATATCCCCAGAGGTGTTTTTGGGGGGGTTCAAACTTACTTGTCTTTCCATTTTCAGACATCCTCTTTCCATCTCCTGCAGCATAAACCGGCACCAGGGTCACAGTGTAGAGAGTGTCGGGCTGCAGGCCTCGCAGGGTGGTGGTGGTTGTGCCCGCTGACACAGTTTCCTAAGTTTAGTAAGAAAATACACAAATTAGCTGCTCTGATGCAAACATATAGTCAGAAATAACATCAAGCTTAGGGTAAATCCTCCTCGCCAGCTGTGAAACACAGTAATTTATCTCTAGTTGCTGCATGTAACGGGGCAAGAGTCAATTTTTTTTATACAATATGTATTAGATTTCTTTATAGAAGTTTAAAATGGGTGTTTAAAGGCCTAAAAGTTTCAGACATGATCAGGCAAATTGGTGAGTAATTCAAAGTCACGGCTGACAGGAAGCTGAGGATGGTCCTACCATGCTCTCATCTCCTCCAGCAGCAGGAGCATAGATGACTCTGTACTCCTTCACTCGGCCCTCGGCGGGCTCCCAGCGCACATTCAGGGTGGTCATGGTTGGGTTCAGCACCTGCAGGTTCCTGACTCCGCCCAGAGGCTCTGCAGGAACACAAACACAGGTGAAACAGGGCGAGCTTTCTCTTTTCTGTCCTCCATCTTTTCCTGGAGGATTGCGATCAAAAGCCTCAGCTAGCTCCTTTCAAAGCCAAAGAGGAGTCACTCTACGTCAAGAACAGTTGAAACAGGGTAGTTGTTGCATTCTGCACAAAACAAGCTGCTTAAAGATGTCACTTGCAATAAATTAAATCACGCTTTTCTTAATTTTTCAGGGGATTAAAAAAAAGTGACACCTCATAATGATTTTTTTGATCTTTCTATCGCAAAACTTCATATGATGATGTTTTTAAAAATATGTTTGATTAAGATTTTCTTCTAGATATGGTTTCTTTTACTGTGGCACATGCACTTTTGTTTAGCCAAAGGCCAGAGGTAGCAGGAGTCTGTACATTTCCCTGCTAAGTAAGGTAAGACAGACTCATCGGCTTGACTACGTAACCCCAAAAGACCAATTCTGAGCCAAGAAAATGCAATTTTTTCTTTTTTGTTTAATAAAAAATTCTGTACAACTGAAAGCAACTTGTATTCATGCAGGACGCAGATTTCACTATAGCAGATATTTAATGTGAAACTTTGTCTCTGGATGTGAGTCTTACTGGTTTTTCCTTCTTCGGAGATATCTTTGCTGATGCCGGTGGCATACACCGCTGCGACGCTGATGGAGTACGGCGTGTCAGGCTCCAGCTTCTGCAGGATGACGCTCGTCTTCTTCCCTCCAACCTGCGTCTGTTCACAGGAAACAAGTCGGCAGTGAGACTTGTGTTCACATCGGAGAAACACAGTAGTTTATTGGAGCTTAGTGACAGGTAGCTGACTCATGAAGAAGAACGCCACAGATGGCAAACACAAATGAGAGAAACATTTGCTGCCAGCTGTCAAATAAAAAGTATTTTTGTTTTTAATGTTTGTTATATGTTTTAATGTTTTGACTGGTCATGGCAGGTGGATTCTTCCCACTGTCACCAAGTGCTTGGCTCAAAGGGGATTGTTTGATTATTGGGATATTCGTTGTATTATTGTAGAGTCACTGCCTTGAAGTATAAGGCACTTTGAGGTGACTATTTGTTGTGATTTGGCGCTATATAAACAAAACTGAATTGAACTGAATTCAGCTTTTGTGGATTGAAATGATATTTTACTGTCATGAAATTCAAATGACTGGATAATTTGATAAGACGTTATAGGTGGATCAATGCAAACACCAGGCCATTTTAGCCCACTACTGAGTGGTTGCTAGGTAACATGATGAGCATTTAGAGGGAGCATTTGGGAAATGTTGTAGAAAACACCTGCATTGATTTTAAACAAAATGGGAGCATTTCCAGGAAGTGACAGACGTGACGGTGATGTAGCCGCTCGTTGTTTAAAGGAGTTCAACGTGTTCCTGCCTGGTCACAGACACAGTATGTCGAAGTATAGAGCAAACACACTGAAAACTCATTTGTCCCAGCTGACTCTGATCTTTTAAATGACTCGCTATGTTTTTAATGTTGCTGGGGGGGGGGGTTTCTGGACTTTGACAGCTATTTACTTGATGTCTGTGTGATTTCTGCTGACTACATAACAAATTAACTCTCAGAGATAATAAGGAAATCCCAGTTATTTGCTCCTTAATAGTTCTGATTACTATTTTCGTGTCTCTGAGACAGAAAGACGAGTGCATGCCAATGTGTGCTCCTGTATTTCTGCCCCTTAAAAGCCACAAGTTGGCTCCACACAGTTGGAGTGGATGGATTTATATGTATATTTCTTTGAGTTGTGTTGGGTTACTGCATTCGATGTTCCTCTGCAGGAACATGGATCACATGAAAATTGGGGAACAATGTGCCGTGAAAGACAATTTACTGTTTACTGTTTGCAGCTGGTCTGGTTCAGATATTTGAAGAGTAATGAAAAGCTGCACACCTCCACCTCCTTATCAGCTTGTCTGTGTCCTGCCTTCGTGTGGAAAACTACCACAGCATGAATCACATCAGAGCCACTTATGAAACGATGGAAAACAGACGATTATTGACTGACTTATTTATTAAATCAACATGAGTTTGTTTGCCTGCGCTGTAAACAAACACCAGCTGATCTTCTGTGGCGAGTGTTTGATGTCATCTGCAGTTACCGCCACTGACCACAGGTGTCGCCACACCGGCTAAAATGTTTCAGCCTCTAAATGCGCGATCATTTATCCGGATCTCGAATCATCAGCCCTCTAAAAATTCAAGCAAAGCCCTTAAGTGTGCAGCGGCTCCCAGCGGGGCATGTTTTGGAGAGGCATCCACTGGTTATTAGGAGAATGTCAGCAGAGTATTTACATCATTTAGACTTCTTTCTCTGAGAGATTTGAAATCTAGTAGACTGAGAAATCCTGAGCAAACAACTCTGCAGTCCATCACACAGTGGATGCAGCGCTGTAAACACATCCACAGAGGGCATAAACAGTTTGTGGTGGCTAAGGGATAAATTACTGGAGGTATCACATCCCATTTACGTCAGTATTTTAGGTATTTGGATGTTTTATTTTATTCTGGGAAACATACAGAAGGTGAGTATCTTGTTTAGAGACAGTGGAGTGTGTTAATAAAACAATCAGTGACTCCTGTGGGTACTGTACTTGGGACATTTTTTTTTAACCAGATAATTTTTTAAATATGAGGTAACTTCACTGCTCATCTTCTAATGCAGCACTCAGTAAATGAGCCAAATATTCATCTAAAGTCTCAGAAATAAGATGACACAGGAATCATTTGTCTGAGCTTTTTTGTGAAATATGCCACAGAAAGTTTTTTATGTGTGCTTTTTCTAAAATTTTGGCTTGTCCAACAAAGGATGACTTGCAGCTTGGCAAAGAAACTAGAAGGTTAATCCTGTGTTTTCAGTGTTATGAAGGCAGTGCCATGGCAACATGCTTCAGATGTAACTTGCTCCGAGCCGGGTTATGATTGAGATAAGAGATCAACAGTTATGAAATGCACAAGTGGCTGCAGTTTGAAAACGGCTTTCTGTAATAATTAATATATGTTTGAATTCTTTATTATTTAATTAATTACACATGTAAACACAAATTTAATGGAATAACAGCTGTAATCTGTCAAATTCTCTTTAAACTGCACAATATGAAAATTTGATCTAGTCCAACCAGCAGACCTGTCTATGCTTGTGATTGGTCACATGTTGTAGTGCCACCACCTTTCATGTAAACTCTGATGAATGGACTGATGAATGATGGGTTGACTTAACGAGTCGATAAGTCCCTTTGTCTGATGTTTTAGCCTGATATTAGATTAAGTGGATTAAGCCTGAGAAGGAAAAGATATCCTTGATTTCTCTGCAGATTTCTTTATTGGATTAACCTTCTAGTTCTAGTAATGTGGATTGTGGCTCTTGTGACATTAGGGAGTTTTGAATTGATAATTTTATTCTGCTTTTGACTGGTCTAGCGTTGGCCTCCGTGTCCCATTTTATTTTGAAGGTGAGATTTCTCTGGTGTATTGGTCTAATTTGACTTCCTGCCTTCCGTTGTGCTCGTCTGGCACTCCCTGATTGATTTCACCTGCCTTTAATTGTTTCCTCATGTGTTCTGCCCTCTATCTGCATTTTTGTCCCTTTTTTTGTATTTTGCATGTGTAAAGGGCAGTTGGATCATCCCATTGCTTATCACTGTTCAGACTTCAGTCTGCAGACCTTCAGAGTTTTCACCCCAGTATAAAGCTGACCTATTTTCTCTACTATACATATGAAAAACAGCAGCCTTAGCCCAGAACTGGACTGATGAAGAAGCCCCGTTTTTTCACCCAGTTCCCAAACTTGAGAGGAAACCCTGAGCTCATCCATAAAACAAACAAGCGTCTCATCTGGTATCACATGACTGATGCTAAGAACAACAAGGCCGCACGACACCAGATGCTCTCGGTCCTCTGGCGCACACATCTGATGCAGCGAGTGGATCGGAGCTCCGTTAGACGGATTTGCAGCGCTGACATCATGCCTCGGCCGTGACACGTTGTTTGGGGGAACACTGTCATAACATCTCAGAGACAGCGACCCCCCTCTAGATTCTTCTCATACTGCTCGCAGCTTCTTTTCATCTCGTTTCCACTGCTAATGATTATTGAGTCAGCGTGTCGGAATGCAGTGTCGGCAGTCAAACGTGGGACTCCTCAAACTCACCGTCGTGCTGCTGGATGTTGTCAACAAATAAAAGCTAAATTGCTCTGTGAGGAAGGAGCCTGGAAACATGTCTGGCGGTGTGTCACTGACCTCCTCCAGATCATTGATGTGCATCTCAAGATGGAGGTGAAATTTAAAACCGAATCCAGCTCGTACTGTAAATCCAGCTGGTTCTGTTTTTGATGTCAAAAGCTTTTTAAGTGAGCCAGACATCAAATTACAGATCGCTCCGGTGCGGTCGGAGACCTCGAGTCTCAGACTCCACATTTTACTCCGTTTCGAAATATATTTCTCTTTGTACATCACTAAATGAGTCTACAGATTAAAGCTTTACATTAATTATACTACTCACATACCAGTTTATTAGGTACAACAAAGTCTGGGTATTTTTTTTTCTGGTTTCTCTCACTACCTTGAACTACCAGAGTTACTTCACCACTCTTCGTGTGTAACAAACAAAGAGGGTTAAGTTGACGGAGAGCTAAATTAACTCGAAGAAGAAGAAGACTTGCGAGGAACAGATAATTAACTGAACTGGCACAAAATCTAAATTGAAAAAAGGGGCACTGGCAGATCTAATGTGATATATGCACATTTATATGGTGCGTGTGTTTTTGTTGGCTTTGTTGAGCACTGAGACAGTTTTGTCAGGTGAGAAGAAGCTCCTGGGATGAGAACTAACACGTCCACGTCTGAGTGCACGGTCCTCAGCCAAAAAAGGGTGGCGTGGGAACAAGTCATGGCCTCCAGGGGAGGATTTCAAGCACCTCAGTCTGGAGCAGGAGACTGAGAAGGATTGGGACAGAGATACTGATAGTGGTCTCCTGTAGTCTACACTCCCACCCGCACCTATGAACATGTGCTGTGGGTCATGGAGCTCAGAGTAGAGCTGAAAGGGTCCAGCAGAGGTGGTTCAGACATCCTGGATGCCTCCAAGTTGTTTTGAGCTTGTCTAACTGGGAGGAGACCCGTGGACAGATTCAGGACGTCCTGGAGAGATCGCGTGTCTCGACTAGATCGGTGTCCCCCACATGAGTTGTAGGAGGTGGGCTGGCAGAAGGAGGCCTGCTTAGACTGCTCTAATTCCCCGCCTGATTTTTTGTGTTTTTTGTTTTTCAAATGTATTGTGTTTCAAAGCTTTATTTACTTATTTAAACTAATTCTTCAGATTTAGATTATAAGTGTAAAAGAGTGATCAGCTGTATTTCTATAGAGACTACCAGCCAGCATATGAAGTGATTAAATTAGCTGCAATATTCAACAACTTCAGATCCAGTAATATCATGTACATGATTCTGCACAAAGACTGCTTTTACTTTGGGTTTTTTGAGGATAGCTGGATCCTAAAAGGTCTTTCACTGCTAGCAGATCCTTTATTCTTGCTCACTGCCTCTTTTTTATGTAATACTGCCTGTGTGAGGGCACAGGATGCTGCACAAGAGCCAGAAAATCATTCACAAAAATTATAGCCAATTTTCACTCATGGTAGATTTTGGTCAACCTCTGTCTCTGATTTGAAGTCATTTTCACAGAGATTAAACTGGAGATGATGATCTCATCTGCTGCACAGTTTACTTTACGGTTCACAATTAAACATTTATTCAAGTTGCATTACACAGGAGGCAAATCACAAAGCAGGTGCCATCAGTTTAGGCTCATTTATCAATAACAAACGAGATTCTCTGACTCAACGATGACTATGAACGACGATTTGACTTTTATTAGAAACACATCTAAAGAACTCAGAGATTCCTTCTTGGTAACTATGTGTTTTATGTGTGAGAATGAGAAAGCCTTTGTCTCTTCAGTGCCTTTAGCTTCTCCTTCTACACAGTTTTATGTCTTTTTTGCTCAGTTTTATCGATCTTGAAGTCCCATCTCAGGAGGTAGAGGAAACTTCCCATCAAATCCAGCAGTTCATAATTGATTTGTTTCTATATGTGCTTTGGGGCTCGTTTTGCTGACTTTTCTGACAGATTTAAAGCTCCACATCATCTTCAGATATTCACTGATTTGTCAGCAAGTGGCTGAAGCAAACCGGAGACCTTCCCACTGGTCAAAAAGCAGCACAGCTGGGAACCTCCGCGCCCCGACAGCAGAGCACGCGGGGAAACTACACCTGGGAAAGGAATTTAGTCGTGTTGTTCTTTTGATCCCTCGACAAACAAACAAAACAGGAGTGGGTTTACAAGACGGCAGAGAGGGACCCGTTTTCTCATAAATGTCAAATTTACTAAACAATCATTGAAACTCGTCCATTTTGGGTGTAAAATCTTGAATAAACACTTTAGAAATCTCTGAATTCGCCTTTTGTTCAGAGTCAGTGAAGCAGCTCCAGCTATGGTCTCCTGATACAACAAAGAGCCAAGTGGTTATATCATAGAGGCTGTATTTCATGTGAATTCTGCTGCTTGGTGCACATTTCCTGCACATTAAATGATCAACTGAAGCTGCGATACCGAGGTTATATAAACTCAGTATGAACTTTTACTTTCTAAGACTCAGAGACAGAGAAGAAAAAAACCCTAACCCTTTAAAATTGAGGCCTAAATATTCAGAGATAACAACCTAACAATGTCAATGACAGCAAGACCTGGAGGGTTATGTTTGGGAGTGGTGTTCTGTTATTGGACTTCTGTGCGAATTAGGTTGTCCATAACAAACACCATGTTTGACTATCAGGGTGTACATAAGTGCATGTGGCACCAGGATACTCTAGGCTACAGGTTGATGAACAATTTTGTAATGGTATCACCGGATCTGCTGCCATATGTTCTCTGAACACTTGGATTACCACCTGCTGGTGAATTGGATCAGGCGGCGGAGCAGGATGCTGGACAAACCTGGCATACCTGAAAGTATTGTGAGGTTGTGCTGGTAATGCCTGGCAAAGGCCTAGGTCCATAAGGTCTTCAACTCCCACCTCCAGCAGAACTTTAAAAGCATCCCGAGGGAGACTGGGGAAAGTGAGTCCAAATGGACCATGTTCAGCACCTCCATTGCTGAAGCTGCTGCAAGGAGCTTCAGGTGCAAGGTGGCAACATCAGTACCAGATGGTGGAAATCTGAGGTGAAGGGAGCTATCAAGCTGAAGAAGGAGTCCTATCTATCAGGATTGGTTAGCCTTAGGGACTTCGGAAGAAGTTGATAGATGCCAACTGGCCAAGTAGTATGTGGTCCTCCATTTTTACTTAACCTCCTAGGACCTGGAATCCAAAATACTCAATTTTGCTCTACAAGGACCTGATATCTACATTATACTTCTACTGTTCTATCAAAATTATAAACAAATATCCTCATATGTGGCTCTCATTTTTCTTAAAAACAAAAATAAGATAAAAAGAAAAATCTGGTAATTCTTTGTTTTTACATTCATCGGGCCCCAATATGCCGAAATATCAAAGAGAAATTTAAAATGCATGCCGTGGAAGAGTTCGGGTCTTAGGAGGTTAAGAAACAATTCACCAGCTGGGCCTATGTCCTCATTTTATGTTTGACAAAGGTTTTAGCAGGTAAAGGTGAATGGCTTGGGCAGGAATTGAGCTGCAGTTTGGGGAGGGCCTCCAAGGGGGACTGGTGGCGGCTCCCAGCCTGGCAGATCTCCATGTACTAAATAGAGTTGAAGACGTTAAATAATTGAAAACGGGAGGGAGGGTGGGGCACGTAAACGAGAACGAACAGCTTGTAGGCCTGAGGGAACCTGTATAGATGAGAACCGGAAGGAGCGTGTATGGAGGCGTGGTCCACTCCTGAAATTCCGATACAATGGATGGATGGCAGCACTGGGACAGGTTAAGAAAAAGGTTTGGATGGACTGCTAAGTTTAACATGTCTTGAAATACAGGTGTCTTCATGTACACACAAAAATATGTCAAACTGTGAAACTGATTCACAAATTGCCACAAGTCTGGATTGGAGAGGAGGCAGAGATCGAGAAATCTCACTTCTTTCTGACCTAAACAGTTTTCATTTTCAGTTCTTGCAGTTGATCACTTCAGTCAGCGCCCTCTAGAAACATCCAATGATTTTTTTTTTAAACAGAGATATTTTAATGTGCTCCCTTGTCATTTTCTCATCCTAACTATGATTTAATTTGTGCAAACTTCCTACATTTATGGCATATAGACACCCTTTTCTAATGTATCTGTACACTGATGATGCCATCATATTCTCATCCACAAACTTACTATGAGGGCATCGCCTCCAGCGACTGGTCTGTAAGTGATCTTGTAATTCTGGACGGCGCCGGGGGCGGGCTCCCACTTCGCCGTCAGTGTGGTGGTGGTGGCGTTGAAAACCCTCAGGTTTTTGGGCGACGCAGGAAGCACTGGAAGCACACAGGTATGTAGAGTCAGATAAACAGCACCTGTATATGTGTGCGTGAAACGATCGGTGAAAATGATTATGATGATGTTGATGAGGAGGATGATGAAGATGGCAGTTATGATGATGTTCTCACAATCCAGCGGGTCATGGAGCTGGAAGGGTTAATTTTAGGATGAGAGCAGCAGAGTGATGAGGTTTAAACCAGTTCAGAGTGGAGTTGCAGGTCAGGAATGTCTTATTAAATCACTGGTCTCATAAAAATGGAGCTAAGTTATATATTTTTACAAAAGGAAAAGTCCTAATGCATAAAAAGGATTCTAAAATTGGACACAATAACACAAAAACACAATTATTATGGAAACAACTTCTATAACTGATGATCCTAGACGGGAACTATGATTAATTTGTGGTTTCTAACAAATAAAATTATGGCAACAACAACAACAGCATAACAAAAACGAAATTTGGCAGACATTATAGAAAATTCTGCAGTTTTTAACCAATGCTTTGGGGAAAGCAATAATGATTAGCTGTTTTGCAACAACCTGTCTTTGGGGTTATGATAACGCATTTGTTGATCATAAAAGGTAAATTTAGCAACAGCTGGACACCCTGAAACAAACCAGGGCTCTGAAATTTAGGCATAATAATAAATATGACAAATTTGTGGATCATTCATATAAGTTTTTTCTTTTTGAGTAAAGAGCATCAAAGCACATTTTTGGTAATGAGAGTGGATAAAATTTTTATTTAAAAATCAGATTTAGTTCACTAACCACCATCTCCACTACAGAACCTCTGAACAACATTAAACTGATGACGAATATGTGATGACATAATAAAATGACGTTATAATGTGAGATGAACATGACGGCAGGAATGACAAACATGTTGGGAGGATGAAACAGGAACGAGGACACTCATTCACAGTGATGGAGGTCTGTGGAGGTTGACGTGTTACTGGTCAATTTTCACACTTCTTGCATTTGAAGCCCTGAATTTGCATTCACACCACAATATAGTCCATGTCCGTGTTGCCCCAAACCTGGGGATTTTTTTTTTTAAAAAGCAGATTTGTTTAAATCTAAGTATGTGTATGGTGTCAAAAACATCAATGAAAGAAGTTCAGTCATTATAAAGACATGTTTTGGTCTGATATATCACTTAAATAGCTTCTAATTAGCTTGAAAAATATGTTAAAAACTGCAGTGGTTTAAAATATTTCAAGTTATATTGTAATTTTTAAGCAGTAATTTTTATGTTTTTAAGCAGATACTGGCTGCATGATAGCTAGCAACATTAGTTAGCTAGCGATATTAGTTAGCTACCAAAATTAGTTAGTTAGCCACACTAGTTAGATGTGTTATTTATTCTATTGAAATGCATTGCTTATCATATCTTATCTTTTGTAATCATCATAACATGACATAAATAACTCTTAGATTTTGTTTTTTGCCTTGCACATATTTCTATTTTATATATGATGACATTTAATACCACAGTGCTTTAGTTACTGCTGTGTAAAAGAACAATGTGCTGCCTACTGCTAGAAGTTAAACCAAAAACTTGCAGAGCCTCCTCACACTGACTCTGCTATGAATTAAATAAACAATAATGGACAAAAAACAAAACAAAAAAAACAAGATGTAGACTTCAAGGATCTGTGAACGACTTCTCTGTGAGCATACTTTGATGATAGTATTCTTTAAAAGATTCTTTAAAAGGCCATCATATTTTTTACATTTCCATTCTTCACATCCAATACAAATTGGTCTATTACTTACTACAGCAATAGAAACACAGAGTGAAATACAAGACCACCAAAATCCATTACAGCCTTTTCTTTAAAATACTAGAACTGTGTATTTGATTAGTAAACAACAGATCTCTGCAAGTTGGCATGATTTTACCTGATATTCAAGTCTTGTGTGAGTTTTTCTGCTAGGGTAAAAAGTAAAACTACACTCTAAGTGCACAAATGCAAATGTTTAGCCAACAGAAATTACTTTCTTTTGGTTGATATGGTTTTGAATCGGTCAGAGCTGAGCCTGCAGTACATTCGTGATAATTTATGTCAACCACGCAGCTGTGACCATCGTGTCTTTTTTGCTGAACTCTTTGCTCAGGTTTGAAGTTGGAGAGTTGTGGTGTGAACGCACAGTAAAGCACTAAAATGCATAGACATGCAGTGAAGGATGACTGAAAGAAAAAAAAGAAAGTGTGTTCCCATTAACATCGTCCTGTATGACCACGTTACCATTCCACACAGAAATCATGAACAATACAATGAAAAGGAAGCTGTCCTTCTCATACGACATACCTGGCGCCTTTAACACTAGAAAGACACATTGAGAGGACAACAGTGTTATTTTAAAGTCATACACATCTGTGAAAGTAAAACATTGGGATGATTTGTTGGACGCTGATAAGAAGCGGGAGTTTACTTACGTGTGCGTTCATTTCCCATCAGATCTTCGCTCTCTGACTCATCTGGGTAGATGGCCGTGACGGTGACAGAGTAGTCGGTGTCAGGATCCAAATTCTCCAGAACGTGGGAGGTTTCGTCGCTATTCAGGATATCCTAGTGACGGGTAAAAACAGCACATACATATGTATCTGTGTGTGTTTATTGCTAACCAGAAGATGTTCTTGGCGCTATGATGTTAGCCTTTCAAAGCAAAAACCTACAAGACTGAGCGCACAGTGAAAACGACAGCTCTTTAGGTCAAAGGTTAAATCTGTCACATGGAGAAAATGTCTGCCTTTGTCTGCCACAGCTTTCTGTTTTATGTTGCCATTTTACAAAGTTTCATAATTCATAGCTTAAAGTTGGAACCCGGCACTGACTTCATCTCATTCACCGATTTTTGTGCTGATGTGCATGTTGGGCCCAAAAACAACTTTGGAGGGCCGAAGCTTAAGCAGTGGAAAACAAAGGGAGCATTATTATTGCTGTGGTCGAACTGGATGTTTTCACTTAATCTTGGCAGTTTTGAGGAGTCTGTGAAACCATAATGGATTGTTCATGAGATTTTTTCCCTTCGGAATGACAGGGTAATTTTGAATTCAAACACTGACATCTTCAGTTTCATGATTGTAACGTAACCAATGCTCGCTGGGCAGAGATCCACACGTTGGTGGTTTTATTCTAGTTGAGAAAATCAGAGCAGCGAACTCAGCGACTGCAGGTGTGCTCGAATGCTGCTTTAAGCTCGCGCTTCGGTTTTAATCAGAGAAAGAAAACTCTGCTAAGCTACAGGCAAAAACACTCACAAAGCTCGTTGATTGGTTGGACATGGATGAGACAACTGAAAGCAGATGTTTACCGCTGCTGCAGACAGAGCGCGCTGTCCAAGCAAAGCTCATTTGCATATTTTGAGACAAAGTACTAAAGCGGGTTTATTTACCCAGCTGCTGATAACAAATACAAATGTAACATGAAAAAAAAAACTAATTCTGATATCATAGAAGTTAACATGCCAGGTGTCTTTGGCCTCAGCCAGCTGACGTAACGTTTCAAGATCCTTCACCTTCTCACAGCACACAGTTTGTTTGTTTTTGTCTATTTTCCATCTTCTTTTTCCTTTCACCCTAAATTAACTGTGGCAGCTGGCTGTTCCTCCCTGAGCCTCGCTTTGTTGGAAGTTTCATCCTGTTAAAAGGCAGTCCCCCACCATCACCAGTTACTGCTCACTGGGCATCCTCTGGCTGCTGCTATTCTCTCGCTAACATTTTAGGGCCTTTATCTTGTAGAAGGTACAATGTAGAAAACCTTGAGGTGACTGTTGTTGTGAATTCGTGTTATAGAAATTAAAAATGTATTTAAATGAGCTGAATTATCATGAGATATCTTAAAAAATGTGTTCACCTAATGCATAGGTTCACTGATCTCTCTTGAAAAAGAGATGAGACATTATTAAAAACGCACCCACAGCCACAGCCTGAATCGGTCTGTGAGGTAAAGTATCTGCAGAGACAAACACATGGCCGGGGTCGGGGTCATCATGGCCATCATAGTTTACACGCTGAGGTTTTGAAAGTGTAGCTTAAAGGTGTGCTACACATGAACAATGCTGACAAAAAGCTGCAAAAGCGCAGAATGACAACTGAATAGCATTCTGGACTCACGCCTATGAAAACAAAAGAAGTAATAAAGCACTTCAGTGTGTTGAAATGATGAAGCCTCAGCCAATGCACTAGACACTTAGATCTGAATAAACAGTGTTATCGGATGGTTTACGTGTCATCTTTTAACAAGCACATACACACATGCAGTTTGTTCTGGAAAAAGCTTGAAAATCTGATGTCGCTGCCAATAGAAACTCTGTATTCAGACATGGAAAGAACTTCTTCTGCTGCAGTCTTTGTCCCGACTCATTTGAGCACAGACATTTTATAGACATGGCCAGGCTGGTCGCATCATCACCCACTTACCTGCTGGAAGTCTGTCTCCCCCCTTTTAACCCAGCCAACACGGTAAAGGGACACGTCGGGGCCTCCGTGTTCCCATGTGACTCTGAACGAGGACTGGGTCACCTCAGAGAACCGCAGGTTCTTGGGCGCAGGAACAACATCTGTAAACATGGACCGAAATGAGACAGAGGATGTCTTAGTGATGATGCAACAGCATGTGAAGAGTCCCTTTTTTATATTATTACATAAAGTTAAAGATATAAAAACACTTAATATTACATTATAAATATAACCCTACACATCATCTAAAGACTTTTTAGTGTAGACCAACCTTCATGTGATTGCCACTTTCCTATATCAAACCCTGATTTTGTTTCACTTCATTTGTTCAAACGAAAAACTTAACCGAGTCTGGTTTTTTGTAGAGGTGGAGGATGCTCTGTTAGGATTGTTCCTGCTTTTGCTATAATTCTGCACTCATTCTTTGATGAGTGCAGGATGACCAAAAAATATAAAATGTAGATTCATACCTGTGATGGCGCTGCCGAGCATCGGGGTCGCGGGACCGTCGTCATAGATCGGGGTGACAGCTAGATCATATTCTGTCTGGGAAATGAGGCTGGACAGCACCAGGGTGGTAATGTCGCCATTAACTTCGATCTGTCAAAGGCAAAATTTAATTATTAGTGACCCTTTTTTTAAAAAAAAATCACTCAGAGGTTGGACAGCTACATTTAGACCCACAGTCCTGAAATACCCACAGACTTTGCAGTAAATAAAACGTGGGGGCATTTGTAGCTCAAAAGATAGAGAGAGCTGTCTACAAACTGGAAACTCAATGCTTTGATCACCAGTTCCTACACCCTGCATGCCAAACTGTCCTGATGCCTGATGGGTTATAAAAACAAACCCTAAAGCCACTGAATAAAATACCACATGAACTGATGAATGTGACCACAGTTTAATTTCTAATGCAAAACTAAAAAACTAACACAGTTCTCTTTGCCGATTAGCTGGAACATTGTTTCCTGCCACAGACCGACGCCTTTCACAGAGCTGTAAGCAGTTTTAAACTATCAGTTTAAGAGAAGAGCTTTATGGAACAGGTGAAAGGTGAACATGGTTAATATATAACAATTTTAATTTCATTTTAATTTCTCTGTCTGTATGTGATGCAAGCAAATGACTGAATAACTAAGCAAAGTTAAAATTAGAAACAGACACTGCAGTTCCTCTGAAGGCCACTTGAGGCTGGCTCCAAAACAGTGTCAGTCTCCATAGACTCTAGTGGTAAAATGTCCAATATTATATACACATCTACAGCCTGAGACAAAAACATTTTTGATCTCTCTAGGGAGGGAGATTTGTTATATTTCACATCTTCTAAATGGACGTCATGGCTTGGGTCACTGTTTGGTGAACTTTAAATGTCATAATCCTCCCCAGATAGATAAAAAAAATTACTAAATAAGACTTTTATTTGATTATATGTGGCCTTGAGTTAACAGCAGCGCTGTCGGATTTATTGTGTGATGTAGTTGAGAGGTTTTTGAAAGTAGGCTTTGAGTTTATGAGTCAGATTCAAATATTTACCAACTGAGATGAAAGCAAAGAACGTAAAAGACGTGCACTTGTAGGGTCAGAGAATGGTAGGTCATCAAATAAATCAGCGAAAAGCTTTGACATATTAAAGCGCAGAGACAGTCTCCACAGTCGGATTTTTCATTTCAGCAGAGAGTTAAGTTAACTCGGGCATACATCCAGATGTGTGGGCTTCCTCTATAGAGACAAGAAGCCTTCAGCACTAATCCTTAAGAGGAGTCGAGCTGTTTCGCGTCATCTATCAGAATCTTCTGGAAATGTCAGGTATCCACGGACGGCACCGTCAGCTGCCGAGTCATCCCAGACTGTTTGTCCTCTGCTGACATCCAAGTGAGAAGTTATGAGGACAGAGTGGAGCTGGGATGATGGAGTCAGGCTGGGCTGGCTGCAGCAGTCAGCGTGCTTCTGCCAGCAGACTGCGTTTCTCATAAGCACCAGGCCAACAAAGAGGAGCTGCAAGGTCGGCCGTAACTCATCACTTTCCCAGAACGAAGATATCTCTGCTGAGTAAAACTTCACCCATACGAGGCTCTCTGTGAGGCTTTATTGTTCAACGCCAACCCTCAATGACCTTACAAACAATACAAGCACTTTCAAACAGACGCAACTTTTTATTCGATGAGGGAGTGACAGCTGATACGTGCCAATGGAAAAAGATCACAGCTGCACTTACTGAGCCTGATTTAGAAAAGTTGGACGTCACGCTTCTCCTCACACATAAAGTCCTGATCGATCAGGCTCCGTCGTGTGTTAAAGACCTCTTAGTATCATTTTATCCCTGCAGACCACTTCACTTTCAGACTGCAGGCATATTTGTAGTTGCAGAGTTTCTGAAAGCCGAACAGGAGGCAGAGGGCTCAGCTTTCTGTGGAACCATCTCCCCGCATCATTTCGGGAGACAGACGGCCTCTGTACTATTACAATTAGGCTTTAAACTTCTAGTTAGGGCTGACTCAGGTGACCTTGAACCGTA